TTGATTCTGGTCTGGTTCAGGAAGCAGGGATAGAGGTTGGGCTTTTGGCTGAGGTTAGTCCTTCTGTGATTGGTGAGGTTTGGTCTCCTCCTCCTAGTGGTTGGGTAAAATGTAACGTTGGGGTTTTGTGGTCTAGAAGAAATTCGGTTGCAGGGGCTGCGTGGGTTTTAAGAGACGAAGTTGGTATGGTCCTAATTCATAGCAGGAGGGCCTTTTCTCATATTTTGAGTCTTCAAGATGCTAGTCTATTCAGTTTGGTGTGGGCTGTTGAAAGCATGGTGAGTCACAAACTGTGTAAGGTAGTGTTTGCTTTTGAAGATAGTGTGTTAGTTGGAGCAGTGAACAGGCCAAAAGCTTGGCCTTCTTTCAGGTTCCACTCAATGGAGGTACTATCAGTTTTAAAGTTGGTTTCGGATTGGAGTTTGGTTTCTGAGAAGAGCTCTGCTAATAGAGAAGCTGCTCTCATTGCAAAAAGTGTAACAGTGGATTGCAGGCTGAGGTCTTATGTGGCTACTGGCTTTCCCTTTTGGTTATCTGGTCTGTTTTGCAGTGAGAGAGTTCTATCTTCTAGGTGATGGCCAATTTTTTGTGCGTTTGAGCTTCTTTCTTTTGTTGCGACCATTGATTTGTTTCTTTGGAAGCGTTGCTGAGGTCGTGCCTTTTTGTTGGGCCTTCTTTTTTTGTATAGTTATGGGCTTTCCTCAAGTCCACTATGTAACTCATCCAATTAATACAAATTCTCAAGTTGACCAAAAAAAAAAATTGTTATTCAGCATTATCTATCTCGATCCATTGACCCATTAGTATTGAGTTATTGATCTATTACTACAAATCATCACACAATCAAGTTTGCTTGTTGATTTCATTTGTTAGACAAGATTACGTAATGGTTACAGAATACCTGTAACTTACTGATGTACACATTTACACATTCAACTTTTGTTGTGATTCAAACTATTTTTACAAAAAGCTATACTAAAAATATATACTCCATCCGTTTCGTTTTAGTTGTCGTTTAAGGTTTGTTGTGATTCAAACTATTTTACAAAAAGCTATACTAAAAAAAATATAAAACAAGGTGCAGAAGTTCTAAACCAAATGATAATTGTAATTCAATTTCTTTGTTTTTTTTTTTTTTTTGTGTGTCAAGGAGTTATATGCAGAATGCAGTGAGTCATAACTAGTAAAGCATGAAATGGTATTAGATGCCTTCGTGAAAATGCAAAAGTCGTATACTAAATTACTAGAGATATTCGATTATTTATGTACTGAAAGCATGATCGATATTCTTTCTACTAATCATCAATTAATAGAGATTTTATTCGGACAAAGAATCATCCTAATAATCCCAAAGAGAAAAAAAGAAAGATATGAACAACTTCTAGAAAGAAAAATTACTAATATTCTAATATTATTTATGTCTCCAATGTATCAGAAAATAGATGACAAATATATATGGACTCCATGAAAAATTAATCTATTAGTTATTGTCTTTCTTATTTAGTTCAAAAACCCTCTTAATATGCCTTTGTTATTGTACTTTTCCAAATTTCAACTCTTCTTTTTTTTTTTTTTTTGCTGAATACAATTTCTTTCCATAAGAAATTTAAGTAAAAAATATGAAAAATTGAGATATTAGTATTACCAATGATCATTTTCCTCTTCTATAGGAAACAACCATCATTGCTCCAAACAATCACTTTCATCCTTACATAATCTCTTTGCTTCTTCTTCTTCTTCTTATTCTCTTTCTCTCTCACTCTCTTTTTCATCTATACACACACATCCAAAATCTCTATATAACCTTTTAATTCTCTCCTTCCCAAATCTCTCTCCCTATAATCATCAATCAAGCAAACACCAAATATATTTTTGAAGGGTCAATAATGGATCAGTCTTGTACAAACTCAGTAAATGGATTCTACTCGTTTCTAAACAGATCAATGGAAGATCTCGAAAGAGTTTATCTTTCCAACAACTTCATGTCCTTACAGTTTCTACAGAGAGTGATCTGTCTTCTAAGAACCTCTCACTCTCATCTCACACTTCTTGTCCAGAAACTTAACCTCCCTGTCGGTGACAAGTGGCTCGACGACTACATGGACGAAACCTCCAAGCTTTGGGACGTCTGCCACGTCATCAAATCCGCTATCTCCTCCATCGAAAGCTTTTGCTCCTCCGCTATTTCCATTACCTCCACCCTCGACGGCCACTACCACCACCGTCGTCTCCTCTCCCCTCAAATTTCCCGGCAGGTATGTAAATGTCTTTTTTGGACTGTCACAAATTATTTGTAGGTCCTAGTGCAAAATTTATATTAAAATACTCATTAACAAACATAACAAAACATTATATTTATATTCAACATTATTTTGATTTATTAAAAAAATTAAGTTAATTCAAGTTGATTATATATATGTATATATATTTTAAATATGATTTTGAGTTTTTTTTTTGCTTGTTCTTGAAAACTTTGTATATTTTTTTGGTATGGGACAGGTGATACGAGCGATATCTGGATGTAGGAGAGAAGCGGTGGGGATAGAAGAAGAAAACAGAGCATTAATGGAGAATCGTATTCAAAGGTTTCCTTTTTGGTCGGAGCAAGTTACTACGACGGCGATGGAGTCTTCCAAGATACAAAACGGATTCAGCGGTTTCCGAGGAGTGATGAACACGATGAAGAACATAAACTCTTTACTTCTCGTGATCTTGATGCAAGGTCTTGTTTATTATATCCCCGGAGACACAACGGCAGCGACGGTTCCGCCGGGAACGATGGTGAGGTTGAAGCAGAGAGTGGCGGCGGAAATGGAGAGGATTGGGATGAGGAAAGGGATGATGATGTATGAGTATAGGAGAAGCAAGACGGCGATGGAGGAGCTTAAGGCGGAGTTGGAACGGCGGTGTTGCGGAGGAGGAGGAGAGGAGGAGGCGGCGGAGAAAGGGTTGAGAGAAAGAGTTGAGAATTTGAAAGGAAGTGTTGGGAATTTGAGGAATGGAACAGAGAGTATTGTTGCTCAGATTGATGATTTCTTTGATGATATTGTTGATGGTAGGAAAATGCTTTTGGATTATTGTAGCCACAGGTGATGCATAATAATTGGGGTTTATTAGGCTTTTTTAGATGAATCAGATTATTAATTAATCTCCTCTCTAATTCATAATATATGTTTTTTACTATTGTTGTTGTTGTTGTTCTTCTTTAATCTTGAAATTCGGAACAGAGAGTTAATATGGTGCCTGCTTACAAATACTCTTTGTAGAAGTTAAAATGTGAAAGTTAAAAAGCTTTCTAAGGAAAAGATTCCATTTGAATCTTCCTCTATTACACTTTTTTTTGGCCGTTGTGGGTTGCTTTTGAATAAAAATTGACTGCAAAAGAGAGTAGTAGTGTGACAGTTGTCTTGTCTATACGGAAAAGTGTTGCAGGGGAAGGTAATAAAATGAATGTGGTCAAGACAAAGAAAAAAAAAGGTAATAAAATGAAAAACAGCAAATGATTAAAACCTGAGGATTGGACTTGATTTGACTTAGCTGCAAGACAGACTGAGAGAGAAAGAAAGCATCTCGTGCTCTTCTTTTTTATGATGAGTTTTTTTTTTTTTTAATTAGCAAGTTCTTGTTTTTTTCTCCAATATTTATCATGTTTATATAGTAGTATTTGGTCAGTTTGATGCGTTTTGATTCATTTGTTTTGTTCAATCCGTTCGTTACACATATTTTATTTCGGTGTTACCAACTTACTATTCAAACTTTAAATTATAAGAAGAGGGAGAGAGGTCAGCTTTATCAAACATCAATAAACAGAAAAACAAAAGTATGATAAAAAGCTATTTGGAAAGTGTTTTTTACTAGAAAACTTCAGTCAGGCTTTGCCTCTTCCGCAGAGGACACCACTCCTCTCCTGATGTTCTTCTTTCACACTTTTTACCATACAAAACTTCACCCACTTGCTATTTATTTTTATTTTGAAATAGCATTTTGATATCGAATAATTACATTTATTTGGATTTTTGTCTTTATGTAATACTTCTTTCATCAGAGAGAGTATGATTGAAGTCAGAACCAGGAATGATTTGTGTTTCCCCAACACATAACCATATTTCTGAAACTTTCTTATTTACTTTTGTTGTTGTTGTCCTTACACTCTCAATTTTGCGCTACAGGCTGTAACTTACAGCTAATTGTTCAAGAACAGGTTCTTCTATCTTTATCAAACCATTACCACTTCAGGTAACTTAAATTAAGGCCTGGTCCACTTTCCCAAGTACACATAAACATTGAAACAATCTGATGTTGATCTAGTTTTACCAAATTCATAAAATGTTGTGAGCCTCCACTCAATGTCTTTGCCTTCTCCAAGTCGTCTTAATTGCTGCTAATCAAACCAACCTAATAGTATATTTTTGTCTCATACAGGGCCGGCCCAGACCTAAAGCCCATCAAGCAGGTGCTTTAGGCATCAGATAATATTTTAATTTTTAAGGGGCATCAAATTTCAAAAAAGATCTTGTAGTACAGTGGTTAATGTCTCATTTATAGCGGGAGTTGACGAGTTCAAGTGACTTTAAGACGAAATTTTAATATTTTTTTGTATTTTTGTTGATTAATGGATAACAAAATATTTTTGGGCTTTAGGCATTCAAATCCTTTGGACCGGCCTGGTCTCATTGATTGCTAATCAAACCAACCCTAACTTACTGACAAATTGGCGATGCTATAGATGATCCGTAACTAGATTTAATGAATCACAGAGAACAGAACATAAAGGAGTCAGAAAAGTGTAGGAGCCTAGGAGGGACCTTCCTTGAGAGCTTACTTTATTTATTACTCTTATTAGGGAATAAAAAATGGTACGTCAATTATTTGCAGTCTCTTTTATTTATTAGGATTTAGGAATATTAATTAAAAGCGAAAAACAGTTAATACACTCTCTCTGGTTGGCGCCGTAACTTAGATTCATCAATAGGCAGCAAAAAAAGCCCATAGCATCGGGATTGAATAAAGCATTGAATTATTTACTGTTTTTACTCTGCATAAACAGCACGAGTCTTCTAAACTCTTAAGACATGTTTAGGTAAAAACAATCCAGACATTTACCCCCAATAAAATAGTTAAAGATTAGGAGAGGAGCGAGATGTTCATCAAATGTGTCTGAGAAATTGGTAAAAAAAGAAAGTAAAAACAGATTGTCACGTGGCAAAGAAAAAACCAGAGAAAAGTCAATGCAGAAAGAAACACCAGAAGATTTTATATATATATAATAGTACTACTGCTACTACTTGGGCTGGGACATGGGAGATTCCTACAGCACCACTTCCTTCACTTTAACCTGTGAAAACTCACAAACAAAAGAAAAGTATAAATCCAATCCAAGCTTGAGGATGTGCAACATTATTATATTCGCATATAAGCAGCTTCAAGCTTTCTGCAAATCAAAATTGTAACGAAACCACACAATTCTTCATAGTTCAGATGCATTAAGGAGCCAATTCTGTTCTCATACAATGTAAATGAGACCCAAAAAAAGGGATACAAAACAGTAGAAATTGTAAATAGCAGCGGTTAATCAAAGCATACCAAGTACTGTGAAAGAGAGAATGGATTGTTATCATATGAAGAACTATCTTAATACATCTTTGATGAATCAGGAAAGCTTATGCTTTGAAAGGTCAATCCAAGTAATGTTCAAGTTCCAAATTCCAATTAACTCAAGGCGATTACTGAAGAGATAGAGATAGTTTTCACAAGTATCATTGGTCATATCAGAAAATCATAAATGTGTTACCTAGTCTACATAATTGGCTTGTTCAAAACAGTAATAAAAGCTTTAGCAACTGATTCAATAGATAATTGTACTTGCGATAGATCATACCTTGGCAGCTGTAACCTGCGTGGCTGTTGGAATGTTTAGGCACCTACAGAATCTTCACACGCTTGGTGGACCACGACCATGTGACAAGGACAATTGTGTCTCATTGTCGCTGGACTCTTTGCTGCCATCCTCTTCACACAAGCCAGACTCTGCAGGGCCGCTCTCAGAATGCTCCTGCACGTTAATGGTCTTGCCAAATAACCGAATCGAGTTAGGTTTGGCTGAAATGGGGGCTCGGTTTCCAACCAGGTCGTTTCCAGAGGACAGATTAGTGGTGTTGCTATTAGGCGATAAGTTATCTGATGGCGGACTGCCAAAATTCATCTCAGTCGACACTTTTCCCAACCCGGTTGGAAGCGGACTGAAGAAGTTATTGGTGCATGACTGGGGAGGATTCTCTCCAATGAATCCGGTTGGATTGAAAGACCCAAAATCATATTGCCTGGCTCCCTGCATGCCAGCAGGAAATGTAGAATACGGGAACATATAAGGACTTGGATCAGGTGCTGCTGCACTAGACAGTCCTCTTTGAGAATAGGGGATATCTCCGTCATCTCCACTCAAGAACCCCCCGGGTTGTGGATACTTCAACCTCTTTGCTGGAGGGAAAGTGGCATGAAGTTGAGTTGCATTTGCAACAATTTCCACTTGCCAAGGATTCACCCTCTTCACGTTTTGCAGAATCTCAGGTTCATCCCATGTGATCTATGCAAGTTCAAAACAAAGGAACTAATCAGAGGAAGCAGAGTGTATTGGCAAAAAAAGGAGTATCTTAAGACTAAATCTAGTTTAACAAACACAATGTACAATGCGTGGCCAAAGAAGGATAATGAAAAGCAACTCTACATCACGGAAGCTCAACACAAACAATACCAAACCAAATCTTCCAGTTTCAATTCCATCTCATCTTTATAGAAGATGAATCTGAGACAGAACATTCATTTTCGTATGAATTAACTTATCAAAATATGTGGCTTCAACACAACACAGCAATCAAAATAACATCAAAAACCCAATTGGCATTTGAACTACTCCTGAAAGGCTTGCACACAATAATCTATATAAGATCGATTCTGAATTGTTCCATCAACTGCTCCATCAGAGAGATAAAAAGAGCAAAGAGCATTCAAAAATCATCATATACCTGAAGCTGTTTCCAAGGAGATCCACGCCATGGACCAGTTTCTTGATAAGTAGAGGAAACAATGCCTTGAAACCAAGTGATCCGAGAGGAATCCTCAGTCTCCATAGCCATCTTGACTCGAGTCCCAGGAGTCCAAAACACAGACATGGAGGACTCAACATCTTCAGCTCTCACCACAAATTCTGACCATCCAGCAGTCGGATAATACGCCACCTCAAATGGCAATCCCTTAGCTGCTCTATTGATCGCCTCCGTCACAGCCTCAGCGGTCAATTTCCCTTTCCCAGACCTCCTAAACGTCTTCTTCGCACTCCCGTCATCTTCCTTAGCAACGCTACTCTGGCTGTAATAGCCGTTGTACTCATCCCCGCCGTAATAGCTGCTTCCTCCGCCGCTGCTTGAGATCGGTGTTCGCCTAACACCCATAAACATCTCATCTGCAGCTTTCTTCATAAACACCACCGAATCGCCAGCGATTAGCTTCTTGCTATTCACGAACTTGCTCCATCCGGTGGTTAACAAGTGACGCCTCGGTGTACCGCGATAGATATGCCTGAAATCCCAAACAGCTCCATGGATATCGGTGATGTAGAGCTTCTGAACCGGTGGATCGATTTGAAAATCAAGCGGAGGAAAGACGGAATCAGCACAGAAACGAGGAACCGAAAATCCACCTCCATTGTTAGCATCAGAAGGCGTGAGAATCTTGGCGAAGGTAGTCACCTTGTTGTTATCATCAACATCGCCATCGTATCTACCGAATCTTGAATAATTAGTCGGAGTAAACTGCTCCTGCGTCACCGGTTGAAGAACAAGGTGAGCAAAAACCTCGTCAGTGATCGGATCGGCGAGCAACTGGATGGAAGTGATGAGACATGGAACCGGAGAGGTAGACGAAGGAAGAGTAGAGATGAGAGGGCAACAGTGCTCCACATGACCTTGAGGGAAGTAGTAAACCCTAGAGTAGAGGAGAGGGATCTGAACGGAGGCACCAGCACAAGCGCGCCAGATCCTTGGGTCGACTTGACGGTGGTTGATGTCACCGGCGGTTGCCGACGGCGGTGACATAGGTATCTGTTATCACTGTAAACGAAGTCAGCGAAAGAAGAAGAAGAAGAGGTAGGTACTGTTAGAGAGATAGAGAGAGACCGTGGTGTCTGAGAAAGAGAGAATTGAAACGGGCATAGAACGGAAGCGAAAGCGGAGGGATAGGAGAGAGATAATAGCGAATTACTGTTACGGTGCTACGGGATTTTCTTTTTGATTTTGTTTCTGTCAAATATTACCACACGACAACAAACTTTTAATATCTCTCTCACTAACCTGCTCTTTCTAACCGTCCGATCTTTAGCGCGTGAATCTTACTCTCTATCTTTTTGGTTTCTCATTTATTTTTTTCCCTATTTTTTAGGTTCAATTAATGATGTTCTTTTTTTTATCTTTTTTAACACACTGAAGAACTAAGAAATGCATTTAAGAAAAACTGAAAAAGGGAATATTTCTGTAGATTTTTAGAATGATTAGAGAAAAATTATGTAAATTTATATGGTAGATTAATTATGGGTTGCTATGCCTACGTTAAAGGTAGTGTTTTTTTTAGCTAGCACTTTGAATCAAGATTTGTGCAATTTGGAATGAATTATTGAGTATATAATAGAAAGAAAAAAAATCATAATTTGTGTAATAATATGACCATTTTCATGTTTTGAGGAATTAGGTGTATTAAAATTTACAATGTCGCTTCACTTTGTTTGTTGTCAATATTTTTTGTTTATTTTTTAAAATGTGTTTTTTTTTCTTACGGTATATTTTTGTTCTTATACAAAAGTAGAATTATCATTTTTCTACAAAATCAAAGAAAATCCAAGTGGATCAGTTTCGAAATTATAAAGGATTGTGCGGTTGCAATTAGCAAGTTGTCTTACTTTAATCTATTTTAATTTGAGAACAAGATAATTTCAGATAAAAGATCTAAACCATATCCAAATGGAAAAAAAAAAGGATATTAAAATAGATCCCTGATTCCTTTTTTCTGTTAATATATTTGGGAAATAGCGCGTTGATCCTCTGCGCGTGGGAAAATCATACAGTGGCCCATTAAAAATGTCTGTTGTAATACTTTTTTTTAATAAATATTTTCTTTTGTAACCAAAAATTATAGTTAAATAAAAGATTCGAAACGAGTTTTTTTTTTTTTACTACTTTTTTAAATAGTAGTATTTTTCAGTGTTAACTAACTCAAATTCGAGTTATATGTTTTTAATTTTGTAAGTGTTTTATGATTATCTAATTGCAAGAAACAAATTTCAAACATTCCTAACTGAAATATACTATTTAAACCGGTTGAACCAACTTTTATTTAGATTACAGTAGTTTTTTATTTGGTTATCCACTACTTTTTCACAACATATAAAACATACCGACAATTTATTAAGGAAAATAAAGTACAATTTCGTCTGCTTTTATTTTGTACAGATGTAAGAAAAGCTTTACATCTTTTTTGTTTTTGTTTGTTTGGTGAAAACATCTTTTTTGTTTGTCACAATCCCTATCCAAATATATATTTTTGTCCATTATGTTTTACCCAATATTTCTATAAATTAAAGTGATAACCCTGACCATTTATTTTGTAATTTGGATTGTATTAAATGCTAGAAAGCAAGGAAGCTTCGTCGGAGGTCCGTTTCCCGCTTCGGAATCTTAGTCGAAATCGGAAGCTCTTGGAAGCTTTCAGAATCTCGCTTCCATAACGCTTCTAAAAAATTTATTTTGGATGCTCTTTGGAAGCTTACGATTCTATTTTGGAAGCGCAAGTGCGTTTCCATTTAAAAAATTTGATGTCCCAAAATAAATAAGAAATATGAAATTTTTGACTATGAACTATTTGACTTTTCTCTATTGTAAACGTACACTATTTGATTTTTAAATATAGAGAGATATTTAGAATTTATGTATTAGATTTGTATGTTAATTATAATTTTTTATATGATATAATGTTTAATGTTATATATATATATATATTAATTTTTATATACGCTTCCAACACGTACCCACTTTCTATAATTTTTATAAAAATCGTTTACACGTTTCCAAACGATTCGATTCCGCGTATCCGTTTCTAATTCCATGCAACCTAGATTAAATGGCAAGTCGTCTTTAGTCTACCTTTTTCACTTTAATCCCTTAAATCTTTTATTGTCAAAAATTATCTCTCAATAAAAAGGTTGGTATAAAAATATTAAATCCCTTTCGTCATTATATTTTGCAAAGTGGACATCCTTGGCGCGTGGGAAAAGCAGATAGATGGGTGGTCAGTTAGGAATGTTTGTTGTGATTTGTATAGTATCAATTAGTTTTTATTTAATATATATTTTTTTCGACGGCACATATAAATAAATTTAAACAAAAAACCTAAAAAACAAAAGACAGAGAATGCAATTTATTATGCTCCCGTTGAAACGAGCCTCTGCTTCTGTTTTTCGCATGTTTCGAATTTTTGTTGATATAAGGCCCACTATCACATCATGGTTACGTTTTAATAAATAAAGTCAATGACCAATGAAACCTTCTTAAACATAAATATTTCCCAAAGTCGCCTAAACCATCACAAACAAAGCATTAAGTCCTCAACGACAACTTTGAGAAATATAGCACTTTTTCAAATCTAATAGATTATATGTTTCTTTATAAGAGCACTGCAAAAAGATTTAAGAGTTCTGAAAACTGACGAATAAATTATAAGAAATCCCGCAAAAAAAGTGAAAAACAGTAAAGAGGAAAGAAAAAAATGTCTCAATCTTCCTCTTCGGACTCCGACTCAGCGCTCTGGAGCCACTCCACAAAAGGCTTAACATTCTTCCAAACCGGGGAGCTTTTGTCAACTCCGGTGAAACCCTTTTCGTACCAATCCAACACAAACTCTTCCTCAATGATGTCTTGGTCGTACAATGCTTTAAGAACCAGAGCCACCTCTTTCAACGCTTCTTCGTTTCCATTCTTTCCACAGAATGTCCCAATCGAATTGAGCAGATGCATCTGTGATCCATCCTCTTGCGTTGTTGCAGCAGCCGCTAAGTAATTCTTCTTCTTCATCACTTCTTTGGAGAATCCTTTGCCCACGCCGTCAAAGAGAACATTGAAGAGTGCGTCTATGATGTCTTGTGGAGGATCAGAGAGAGAGGAGATGAAACTCTTGAACTCGCTTATTGGTGACCCTTTCTTCAGATATTCTTTCATATCCTGCACGAGATTCTTCTCTTGCGGAGGTCTCTCAGTTTTCACAACATCCCCATTCGGTTTGCTTTTGGGCGCCTTTTTCTCTTCCGCTTCCACTGTAGAGAGCATCACCATTTCGACAGTTACAGGACTCAACTGTTCTTTCATTCTTTTCTCAGCAGCTTCTCGGGAAGTATCAGTTTGCCACTGGACACCATCATCATCGTCTTCATCCTCATCCACATCCTGTGCATTCTCATCATGCTTTGGGCTTATATCCTCGTCAGAAGAATGGTTCTTGGAAGTCTTAGAAGAAGCATCCTTCCCGTTAGACAATGCTTTCTTCTTAGCTTCCTTCTTCAGCTTTCTCTGCTCCTCATCAGCTAGCTCGCCTTCTTTAAGCCTCTCCTTCTCAGCTTTTCTCATTGCTTTCTTGTCCTTTGACACCTTCTTCTGCTCAGGTGGGTTCTTGAGAATGAAATTAGTCAACTTGTCCCTCATGTCAACCTCAGAGATAAACCCGCAAGCAGCACACTTGAGATTCACCATCTGCGTCTTTGTGATAATGATCTCAGTCTCAGGGTTACCACATCCATAGCACTGGACATACTTCTTGATGAAATTCTCCAAAAGCCCAGCAAGCTTAGACGTGTTGTGAGCCCCATTCACAAGCGATGTCCCAGTCTTCTCGTCAAATTTGGACTGCGCCCCAAGCTCGCAACCAAAGTACTTTGTGGTATAAGAAGGTGGCCTCGCCAAGGCTTTGGCAATCTCAACATTGTTGATAATGTTGGTCTTAATGCCGTTACCTTTGCCTTCAGTCTTGGTAACCATCTTAGGCATCTTGTACCTGTAGAAGGCATCGTTACGGTTGGAAGCACCAATGTTCTGCAGCGCCATCTTGTTGAAGTGTTTTCTTCTTAGCTCAAAAACTGGACAGAAATAGGAGGGATCTCCGGTTTGAAGATGCGAGAACCTAAAGTGATGGAGGAACTAGTAGTAGTCCTTAATTCTGGATGTAGGATAGTGTTTACCAAGCAACCAGATTGACAACAAAACGGAGATATCTTGTCAGACATAAAAGAGAGCTTCGAAATTCGATTCGTAGGTCCACGCTGCAGAAACAAACAATGAACCAAAGAATTAGAAACAAAATCTGATTCAATCATCATTAACGTTACAAAATCAATAAGCAAAGGCACAAATTTTCGGATTCTGTGTCAAAACCTAATCAATCTATAAGATTCATGAATCCTAAACGAAACCCAGACTTGCGATTATCAATCATCACGAAATTTTCAATCGTTAGCTCAAAATAACAAAAATCAAACGAAACCGCTCTAACAAAGCAAATCAGAAACAACCACAAGAACAAATCTCGAAGAAGAACAAGATCTGGAGAAATAAAAATACCTCTTTGTTGAATCGAAGAAGAGGAGGAATCAAAACGCTGAAAATATTGACAAAGGAATTGGAGATTTCTTAAGAGAGGCGTTTGGTTTAAATAAGAGGAGAAATTAGGTTTAACTTATGAATGAATTTTGGAAAATACCCCAAATATTCATTTCTTTTTTGTTATTTCCTTTTCTTTTTTTTTTCCTTTTTACTTTTTCTATTTTCCGTTTCAAATTATATTTCCTTCTCCGCAAGTAATTTATGGGAAAACAAAAAAAAAATCCATGAAACGTGCCTTGTCATATTTATTATAGACCGTGTTATTGATTTATTAATTGTAACTTGTAAGACACAAATAAAATCACAACTTCTGTAAATTTATATTCCATAAATAAGAATTAATTTTTTTTTACCTTAGATTGGTATATTATATGCTGGTCTTAATTTAGTTGATACAATTTTGGGAAATTGTTAAAAATGCCCTTTTTGGTGTGCCCTTTTTCAAAAAATGCCCCTTTTAGATGTCCATTTTCAAAAATGCCCCTTTTAAATCTGAAATTTCTATAAAGTTCTATTAGGTTTATAAGGTACTTATGGATGATAACTACTACTTGGAGACTCGATCCAAGTATTTATAAGGTTTTATAAGGTGTTTTTAAAGGTTTTACAAGTTATTTTAAAGGATTTTTAAGGTTTTTCAAAGGTTTTACAAGATATTTTAAAGGT